CATGCCTGTCACAGGCAATTAACATTGCAACCTGCATCGTCTAGATATAATGATGGAGTCTGGGCCCTGTTCTTTCCTGGATCTTGCAAATGCTGCTGTCTCAGTTTTCGTGTGCAACGGTGTCATCTTCTGCCCAGACTTGTGCTGACTCTGTAGAGAGAGGGTGACCTCATTTACTCTGAGTACCTATGGAACTGGGGAATGGGAATTACCGATGGTGAGGCCTTCGATTCCAGTTTGCTTTTGCTCCACAGCCAAGGGCTACAGCTGGACTTTCTACTACTTTACTTAAAGGCAAACAGAACTTGCAAGGCAAAAATGGTTTTTCAAAAGACCATACGTTCCAGGGAGAAAGAAAAAAAAGAAAGAAAAGGAAAAAAAAATAATTTAAAAAAAACAAAAACGAAGGCCGGGCGTGGTGGTTCACGCCTGTAATCCTAGCTCTTTGGGAGGCCGAGGCGGGCAGATTGCTCGAGGTCAGGAGTTCAAAACGAGCCTGAGAAAGACTGAGACCCCATCTCTACTATAAATAGCAAGAAATTAATTGGCCAACTAATATATATAGAAAAAATTAGCCGGGCATGGTGGCCATGCCTGTAGTCCCAGCTACTCGGGAGGCTGAGGTAGGAGATGCTTGAGCCAGGGAGTTTGAGGTTGCTGTGAGCTAGGCTGACACCACGGCACTCACTCTAGCCTGGGCAACAAAGAGAGACTCTGTCTCAAAAACAAACAAACAAACAAACAAAAAAACCCAAAAATGAAAACAGACAGACCATATGATATATTTTATTTATTTGTTTTTGTTCCTTTTTTTTTTCTTAGTGATCTCATTGAAGGTATTATACCATATATTTTTTAACTCCTGCATACCAATATTTTCTAACTGAGGAATACATAGTTCATTTATGAAAACTGACTTTGACCCTTGTGTAGTAGATGCTGGACAGTGCCCCATCCACATGTCCTTTGGCTACTTGGAGGCTTTCCTATATCTCTGTGTCAGGACATTCTCTGATCTGGGGTGGAGGTTGTTCAGTCTGCTTCAGAATAGGCCAGAAGCTTCAGATAGTTAATGCCCAGGAGCAACCCTCAGTCGCTGAGAGATACTCATTGGTGTATAAATACCCCAAGTCTCTCACTCTTCAGTGGGATAGTTTTTTTTTTTTTTTTTTCTTTGAGACAAA